GAGCACGATGCCTCGATCTATATTTGATTAAGCAATTTCCCATATATTTGGCTCCAAAAATTTTAAAAATACTATCCTACTACTGATTTTGTGAACCATTCTACCTGTACAGGTGAGAGCGGCAGGTAAAATTTGAAGTACCTACTTAGTTTTTCTGATAGTATTTTTAAAATTTTTAGAATTTTTTAGAACCAATTAAATATGTTGGAGACGGCTCAACCAAATATAGACAAACTATATATAGTTTTGGAATCGGGAAATTGTGTCCTTCAAGAATATAGAACCAAATACATATAGCGCATCCCATAGTTTTTGAGAAAAGTTGGAGTTTTGTCTGATTTTAAGTTTTGTTTTTGTTTTGTCGGTTTGGTGGAAAACCAGCATAAACATTCTTAAAACTTAAAATATGGTTTTGTTTTCTTTTTTTTTTTAAATTTTATTATTTTATTTTTAAAAGGAGGGGCAGTTGCCCTCCCACTATATCCGCCAATGTTCACCCTCTTCCTTTTGACCTGACATGCTTTTTATTTGATTAGTTTTTTAGAAGTTGGATTCAGGTCAATAAAACAGTGTTGGAGATGAAAAATATGTATTTGTTGCTAAGGGCACAAAAAAATATTTTTATTCATTTATACAGCTTTCATCATTTCCGATACTATTATTCTTTATTATCCAATAGTTTTAAATTAAACAGGATCACAAATGGACCATGGAATAGGCTTTTGACCTTGAAAAAAAATTCCAGGTACGGGATCGCTGGGGACTTTTCAACATTCATTTATAATGGTGTTCCAAACATTCATACCAATTTTCAGTTCTATGGGAATTTTTGTAACTTCTCTACTATTTTTAGTAGTATTTTGACCGGATTATTAGTAGGTAGGTATAGTCCGACAAATACCATTTTAAAGTCACGTGATACTGGTGGCAAAAAACGTATGTCCATTGATTATGTCATTGATATCACCTACAAAAAGCTACTGGTGGTTAATTACTATTGAATTTTAATATGTGTTCCCACTAGCATTTTACAAACGCGTTTCTGAAGTAGTGTTGACCAATCAGAGGGCAATTTTAATACTTGCAATTGTTGCGAGACTCATTTTTGTCACATCCGCTGTCTGTTGTAATGCATTCTGAACTTAAACTGGGTACCCGTTTTCTATTTGCTTTTTTTCGAGTTGGAAAAAGGTTAATATGGTCAAAATTATTAGCTGTGTTTGTTTGTTGTATTATTTTCCAAAATAACTTTGACAAACTAATTGATGACAGTGACGGATTCTATTTCAGGTAAGAATATTATGAACAATAATTAGACAGCAATTTTTTTGTCAATTTTATTATCACCGCTGTTTGAGGTGTATTCAACAAGGATAGAGAAAAATCACGTGACTTTAAAATGGTATTTGTTGGACTATACCTACCTACCTAACTATCGCCCAATAGGCATAATGAACAATTTCGGAAAGCTGTTTGAAAAATGTCTTATATAGACCGATTACTGTCATTTCTTAGAAAAAACAAAGTACTATCAACAAATCAATTTGGTTTCATGGAGAAAGTCAGCACATGTGATGCCAATGTATCAACTTTTTGGGTAAATATCTCAAAACATAGACAAAAATAAAAAAACAATTGAAGTCTTTCTGGATTTGGTGAAGAACTTTGACGCAGTACCACATGGCCAGCTTCTCAACACTTTGGAAAGTTATGGTGTAAGGGGTGTTGTGTTGGAGGTGTTTCGTTCCTATCTTTCTGACAGGGAACAAAGTGTAAAAAATCAGAGACATCTATACCTAGTGACCCACATAACAAAATTGCATCCTTAGAATGTATTAAGAATGTTCTTTTTTTAGGAGGAATGTGCCTAGAATGTTCGCCAAAACCATTGCGAATGTCCTGAGAATGTTCTGAGAAAAGATTGTAGAAATACTGTTTGCAATACCCAAGAACTTCCTGAGAAATCCATTAGGATATTCCTAGAATATACCTATGAGATTCTCAGTACCTACATCCTGAAAAGAATATTCTTGTTTGATTCTGAAAATATGCTCGATATGTATAGGTATTTTCACATTCAAAGAATGTTTCTATGACATTATAGTTATGTTCTTAAAAGAATATTATACCAATATGCTTGAAATATTCTTAGAAAATATCTACATATTATCATTCCCAATAGGCATCCTAGACATAACATTCTTGGTTGATTCTAAGGATGTACTTGGAATGTTAATTTTCGCTTCCAAATAATGCTCCTTTCAGCCTTTTTATATTAAAGGCAGTGAAAGAGTGGTTGGAAAACTTCTCTGGAAAACACAAGTATTTAACCAAAGCTCCGGTTTCGAGCTTGTTATGCTCTCGTCGAAGCACGCCAACTGAGAGAAACAGGTTCCAAGGTGATTCAAACGCGAGGTAAGATGTAGATCTTTAATAGCGCGTGGCTCCCTCTCTTGGAAGTCCTACAAAGCAAAAGGAAAGGAATATACCTATAATATTCTTAGTACGTTCTGGATAGAGCATTATTGTTTAATTGTTAAATTATGATTTTTGAGTAGTTACTTCAGATAATTAGGTGAACAATATGAAAATATTCTTATCATGGTTACCTACCTACATAAACTTCTCAGCACAACTTGGTAGGTATATTCTTGATACTTGATAGAGATATTACCGAAAGAACATTTTTTAGGGTACATTATAATAATGTTCGTATGACAATATTCAAAGATTGTTATATAAAGTAGGTTCTTAGCACAATCTTTCAGGTAGGTGCATAGAAGCAACATTCCTAGTACATAAATAGAACGTTCAAAAATGAATATTTCAATCGAAACAATCTTAGAATATTCATTAAACATTCCTAAAAGAACATTCCAAAAAGCACTTTGAGGGAATATTCTGAGAATATGAATGTTCTTTCACTGTTATGTGGGGATATGTATGTTAAACATTCAAAATAGGTACCTATTCCACAAGGTACAGCTCTGGGTCCTATACTGTTTATCTCATGACTCACATAACGCTCATATATAAACTCTTTAACTAATATGCGGATACAGGGCTCTGTAACATCTTACGCCGACGACATCATTCTACTTTTCTCAGGAGACACTTGGGGTGATATGAGGACAGCCAATAGTGAATTAATTGAAGTGAAAAACTGGCTAGATAATAAAAAAACTCACGTTAAACATTGAAAATACCAAATATGTAGCATTTTCACTCACTATATGGCAAACCGATCGGATTATTCCGGCATTTACGTGGAGAACTTCCAGAGCGAAATCAATTGATAAGCACTTAAAATGGAAAGAGCAGGTTTTGAAGCTAAAAAGTGAGTCTATAACATCAGGAGGAACAAGCTCGTGGCTGGCTTGAGCAGAAAATTGTAGAGTTCTTGTTACTTCTCCCTGATGCAGTTGCATAAATCTCTGAATATAGGAATAGTAGTTGAACAAAAATAGCTGATGCAAAATAACATCTTAAGTCATGAGCCTAACTTCAAATCTGTGATTGCTCAGCTCAATTTGTTTATAGTTATTTATGTATCAAGGGAATTATGCAGGTGTTAATACCCCAGGGCAACGTTTGTGTCCCGAGGGCCTCCGGCCCGAGGGACACCAATTGCCCGTGGGTATTAACTCCGGATAATTCCCGTGGTACATAGATAATTTTATATCCTACTGAATTTACTGTATTCTGTCTATTTTTATAAAGGAATAAGCCATAAATCAAAATTTCTATTTTTTGTCAAAGTGTTACCTATTCAAGGTAAAAGCGGGAGTTATGGAAATCCTTAATAATTTTATATCCTACTGACCTATTAAAACCATATAATACCTTGGTTACGATAATCATAAACAGGGTCTTAACTCCCAAGGGAGTTAAGGATTTTCATAACTCCCAAGGGAGTTAAGGAAGGGAGTTAAGGATATCATAACTCCCAAGGGAGTTAAGGATTTCCATAACTCCCGCTTTTACCTTGAATAGGTAACACTTTGACAAAAAATAGAAATTTTGATTTATGGCTTATTCCTTTATAAAAATAGACAGAATACAGTAAATTCAGTAGGATATAAAATTATCTATGTACCACGGGAATTATCAGGAGTTAATACCCACGGGCAATTGGTGTCCCTCGGGCCGGAGGCCCTCGGGACACAAACGTTGCCCTGGGGTATTAACACCTGCATAATTCCCTTGATACATAAATAACTATTATATCCTACTGAACTATTAAAACCATATAATACCTTGGTTACGATAATCATAAACAGGGTCTTAACTCCCAAGGGAGTTAAGGATTTTCATAACTCCCAAGGGAGTTAAGGAAGGGAGTTAAGGATATCATAACTCCCAAGGGAGTTAAGGATTTCCATAACTCCCGCTTTTACCTTGAATAGGTAACACTTTGACAAAAAATAGAAATTTTGATTTATGGCTTATTCCTTTATAAAAATAGACAGAATACAGTAAATTCAGTAGGATATAAAATTATCTATGTACCACGGGAATTATCAGGTGTTAATACCCCAGGGCAACGTTTGTGTCCCGAGGGCCTCCGGCCCGAGGGACACCAATTGCCCGTGCATAATTCCCTTGATACATAAATAACTATTTCTGCCATGCCATGAGGATCGTGTTTAAGATGAATATAGCGATGAAATTAAATGCCAAAGCCTAACTTTTCTTTTTATAAGCTTCTGCAGCTAGTTTTTTTTAATTTTTTCTAGATTCTTGGCATGTTTACATGACTTTTTGTTAACTTTATTTGCCATCATCACTTCTTTTGGATCTACTTCCCAAATTGAATCTGAAATGTCAAGATTCAAATTTGTTACATTTATAATCACAATTTTTTTCCCGAAAAACATAAAAGACTACACTCTTTCATGTTAGCAGCTTAGCGTATCAATAGATTCAATGAAAGTGCCTTTTATGCATTCATTAGCTAGGTAAATTACAGATTAACTACAAAAAAAATTAAGAGGTAAACAAACTTTTAAACTTAATTTATTATCAACAATAAAAGTAAGAAACAAACAAATTTTACTTCATTTTCTTCAATTTTACCAAATGATTCCTCAAAGATATTTGCTTGTCTTTGAAGCTCCTCTTAACCTTCCCTTGCACTTTGTGTTTGATCATTTGGAAATTTTTCTTCTTCCTTTTCTCCCTGTTTGTCTTGGAACAGTGAATATTGACCCTGCCATCTTTGTAGCCGAACTTCTCTCTACCTTCTTGGCCTTCTTTAACTGTCTGCATTCTAGTTAGTTTATCGTGCTTCCTTTTCTTGTAAATGTTTTCAATGTCGCTCAGTTTTACAAGGTCGTCTTTGTTTTTGGCCTTGGTATTCTCTTCCAGTTTACGTTTCAGGCCTTTGGTGGTGCTGTGCATTTGCTTTTGCACATTGGCCATGTCAATTCTTTTGAAATCTTCATCTGTAAGAAGTCTTTCGACTGTTACTTGTTTGGCCTGGGCTTTTTTGTTTTGTAGAATTTCTGTTTTGGTTCTTTTTGCTTTAAGAACTTTTCTATTGCTACTAGTATTTTGTATAGTAGTTGCAGCATCGTCATTATCCTCCTCCTCTTCCTCTGAAAGTTCTTCATCTGATTCAGCCTCCATATCATTATCAGAATGCTGCACATCAACCCATTGTTCATCATCTGATTCTGATTCACTATTAATTTCAATGTCTTCATTTTTATCTTCATCTAATAGAACTTCAGCTCCAGGAACATAATCTTTAGCCTGTGTTCTTCCGTAATCCAACTTCTCAATTTCCTCAGTGGCTTCTGTGGGCCTTCCTCTATCTTTCTTATGCAACAATTCTGGTCTTAGATTTCTGAATAATTGAATAAGACTTCTAGCGGCCATCATTACAGATCTGTCTTTGTATGTTTTATATTGAGCTAGATCTCTTAATAGATCCTCTGAAATACTGAGAGGGCATCTAGTACAAATTTCTTTTACTGCATTCAAGCCAATAGCCATTACATCAGAAGAATTCCTTTCGGTTATGAAATTATTTGCCAGAGTTTTTAAAAGTGGCTCTATAACATCAGGAGGAACAAGTTCGTGGCTGGCTTGAGCAGAAAATTGTAGAATTCTTGTTACTTCTCTCTGATGCGGTTGCATAAATCTCTGGATATAAGAATAGTAATTGAACAAAAATAGCTGATGCAACCCAATCAGACGAGAAATAACATCTAAAGTCATAAGTTTAACTTCAAATCTGTGATTGCTAGACTCAATTTGTTTAAATAATTTCTCTGCCATGCCTTGAGGATCGTGTATAAGATGAATAGCGCTGAAATTAAATGGCACAGCCTGGCTTTTCTTCTTATAAGCTTTTGCAGCTAGTTTTTTAACTTTTTCCAGATCTTTGGCACGTTTACGTGTCTTTTTGTTAACTTTATTTGCCATCATCACTTCTTTCGGATCTACTTCCTCGTCCGAATCTGAATTGTCTGAATCTTTTTCGTTCTCGTCTTTGCCCAGGAAGAATTTCAATGAAGCTACCATGACCTGAAAGAAAAATGGATTTTACTAAAGTGAATAACTTTGAATACAAATTGAGGGTTTTGACTTGGGTTTAAAGACTGGTTTAGGAAATTTTTTTGTTGATGTTTTGCCAACTTAATTTTGAGGCTCACCCCCTTACTGAGCCCTAAATCCTAACAAAAAAACATTACTCACCTTCATCACATTGGAAAAACATCCTGTTACAATTACATTCACAGTCTTAGCATCATTCCAGACATTTTTCTTATACAATTCAATCATGATATCCACAGACATTTTCGCAGCTCTTGCATTAGTATCCTTCAGCATGGTAAACATAAAATTTTGAAGTGTAGTATTAAGTTTAGCATTTTTATGTTTCTTATTCAAGTTTTTTATGTCTGTTATAATGTGAGTTTCCAAAAACTGCCTCAAAGACTTATCTTGGCATCTCAGTAGATGGAAAAACAATTCCAAAAGGTCTGTTGGTGCCAGTAAGTTTTTGTTTCTCAACAAAATAAGCGCCTTGCACAAGTTCATCCTTATCGAGTTGTCGAGGACTGTATTGTGCTTTTGCATTAAATCTATAAGTTGCTGAGGGAATTTTTCAAGTTCCTTGGGGTAGCACTGAGCCACTTGGGCCATAAACATTACCAATTCATCCAGAGTTTTGTTGGGTTGGTCGGGAGCCAGCTGGAAAACTTCGAGAGTGTTTTGGAAATGCTGGTATTGTTGTAGAAACTCTTCATGGTACGATGCAGAGTCTCTTTTGATTAAGTTTTGAAGCTGTGGGAGGTTTTCTGGGAGTTGATTGTTGTGTTTTCGAACCATTTCGGTTCCAACTGTGTTGATTTCAAAGAAAAATTGATAAGAAAGGATTTGTTATTGTTGACAATTTTTCAAAGAACCACGTTCAGGATATTTTGAATTAAGGTTAGGTTTACGATATGATGCAGCCGCTTGTTCTTTAAATATATTTTGGCCATAACTATGGAGCAACCCACTGGTTCGAGTATTGTTTTCGGAGTAAATGGAATTAAATTATTTGCGTTCAGGTGACAGCCTATCAGCAAAGGAGTAGAAAGAGTATACTCCATCTCAAGATTCCGAAGCGGAAAAATATCAAAATCAACCGTTCGACATTTTTTTTGCTCCAATAGTTCCGGGGGTTGTTCGTTGTTCGGGTATACTCTAACGCTCTTTTTACTCGAACAAAACTGCTCTGACTCCACTCCAACTCCGTGTTGCCAATCGACATTTGTTGCTCCAATAGTTCCGGATAGTTCAGGTATACTTTACTATTAGTTGTATTCCTAAAGAGTTTTAAACACTCGAGCTACTCGCCCCGGTGTTAGTCGCCCCCGATTTGTAAAGAACAGATGCGTGGTGCAACAAACACTTTTCGAAAGGAATAAGCGCACAACGCCCCGGAGCTGTTCCGGAGTTCCTCCTAGGTGTGAAAAGAAAACAACTATATTGACTTTACCACTTGTTTCACTCACGAAAAACCTTCAAAAAACTGCTCTAAATCTACTTCAACTCAGTTCTGAAGGGAACCCAGTTTTCAAAGAAGTTACTCCACTCCTTAGCTCCACTCTAACTCTGTCAGCGAACTTCATGCGAGTGCAGAAGTCAATCATCATGTAAAATGTCATTTGATTTGTCACTAATGTCAATATATTCAATTCAAAAAACGTCTACCGGCGTGTGAGTGTTTTTAAATTAATTGTTTTATTTTATCTAATATTTAACAAACTCTTGTCTTAACAATATTTTAACGTAATTTTAAAGGAAATCCTATTTCGCTTGCACCATGAGTCGTTCTTCTGATGTAAACGTGGACTCGTTGGCTGAGGCCCTTCAAAGTGCCAAAGTATCTTCATCTGGAGTATCTTTTGCTGGAAAATCACTCAAATTGGACACTGAAGAAGATGGTTAGTGTTTGAACTAGATCCTACTTGAGAAAATTTATGAATAGTACCTTTTCACATCCGAAATACATTTAAAAAACTTCAAAAAAGAAGAGAAGTTTGGTTGTTGTTAAACCCTTAATATTCAGTGGCAAAGCACTTTCAGTTCTAAGCCAACATTTGTGCCTTCCTGAATAGTGAATGAGAATACATATTCGATTTTAAGTAGTAAAAATTTCAGGTAGTCTCGAGGGTAGTCTCTTCAGGACTGCACAGGTGTTTTCCCAAAGGGAGACAGACTGGTTCATAATTTACTCAAGGAAAAGGAATATCACAAACATGAAACCATAAAACATTAGACCTACAACTGCTATGAACATAAATACCATTCAATTCTAATATTTCTTTTCTTTGCTAAACCTTTTAGAAGGAGGGAACAGATATTTGTATTTTTTATCTCATCTTTAAAGAAATAGGTATCTGTGTACTGTAAAAGGTTTTGTAACTAAAAAAAAACGGTAAAATTATAGTCTATCGTTTCTCAAATGAGACAAGGCAAAAATTGGGGTCTTTACAAATTATCGTATTGCACCTTAAAATTATTATACTATTATTAGGCAAAATATATTGAGCGTGCCCATATACATTGGATGCGAATCCATGTGTAAACAATGCATCTTATTGGTTGTTTAATACAGTCAACGTTGATTCCAGGAATATCTTATTGGTAAGATTTTTTAGCGGCGTCTTTGGCGGCATATTGCTTTGAAGTGGCTGCCGCGCAGGAATCAGTTTCATCTGGAAAGACAGTGCAGTAGATATTTTATATAAATTTGATTCCTATTTGAGTTGTATTTTGCCTTATGTTTTATTTTATATAAAACTGTTTTAATAAATTTCTCTTACTCCGCCCGTGCTTCATAAAGAAAACACCGACGGCCAAAGGAATTTTATTTATTTTACTGTCTCATTTGACTATCGATAGACTATAATAGAATAAGTAATATTCAAGAAATGTTCCTAGAGGTTAAGTCTCAAAGAGTTTCATTGTATAGTGTTTGCCACATTCCTTTTTCTTCCAAATTACCTACCAGAGCTGTGGTACCTACTGATATATACCTTGAGTAAAATACTCAGTACATTTAGGTAATACTTTTAAGTATTTTACTTAAGTACTAGTACTTGTACTCAAATTTGGCCTATTATTTTAGGTACTACTCACCTACTACCTACTACTTAAAAATCTACTGAAAATTTGAATCTACTTAAAAAGTAGTTTCATTTATTTATTTATTCAATCAACGGGTATAACCCAATTTTACAAATGATGAATCATCAGTTAAACTTGCTGGTAACTATCTGCAAGATAATTTCACTGTTCTGTTATTCTATTGGTTGGCGGATAACTGGCCGACCAACTGGCCGACCAATGGGATTACCGCTGGCGTTTTATCCGTCAGATTGCATACCTGACAGTTTATCAGAAGGTGAATAAAATGGATAGAAACGCGATCTGTAATCCCATTGGTCGACTAATTTTCCGCCGACCAATAGAATTATAGAACGGTAAATTTTTCTTGCAGATTGTTACCAGCAAGGTTATCTGAAGATGAATAAACCAGGCCTAAGACATATAAAAATTACTCAGAAAACGAGTCAACACAAAGGAACAAAAAATTAGGTGTTATGTAGCTTAATTAACAGACGCTCTAAGGTAATGAAGTGAGGTGCTGAATACATCCAATTCCAGATCGTTAGCATTCATAAGCATTCTATTTAAATGAAGAAGACTGTCCATAATTTGTTCGATGACATTGTAGTTTGAATGTATTAACAACCCTCAACCATCTTGGAGGGGCATAAATAGGTATCAGTGCCAGAAGATCACTAGACTCTATATTATCTACATATACAGGGTGTCCAAAAAGTTAAGGATAATACTGAAAGGGCTAGTGGAACAACAACAAAAACATAATGACCTCAGTAAAAAATTGAGAGTTTTGAGATATTGCCACTTTGATAAAATTCGTTGAATCGTCCTTTTGGATCAGATTTTCACCTTAAAGTTATTATTATTCTGGGATATTGGATTCAAGAAGAATTAAGAGGTCATTTTTAATAAGATGCCGCGTCTGCATTCAGGTTGGTGGTAGGCACTTCGAACATATTATTTGATTTCTTTATTTTTGGTACTTTAAATAGATACTTTTGTTTGAACATGATTTAAATTGTTTAATTTTTCAGAATGATCTGATAAGGTGGATTTAGGTTTATCCTTCTCTGTAAGTCATTACAATAAACTGTTTATTAGAATAACGGGTAGTTTTAAAAAAAAATCGATAGCCATGTGATCCAAGAGGACGAGTTTAACAAATTTCATTAAAATGGCAATATCTCGAAAACCATCGATTTTTTACTGAGGTCATATTATGTTTTTCTGGATGCTCATGAGTTGTTTTACCACCCCTTTTAGTATTATCGTTGACTTTCCGGACACCCTGTATAATTTGCTTATGGAATCTTTCCACGCCATTCTGACGTTATTACTCGAGCTAGAATTCTCCAATTTGGAATAGTTGTTCTTTAGGACTCTGGCTAGAACCTAACGAAGCCAGAATTTTCAATTTCGAACTAGAAAAAAAAATAGGGCAAACAATGAGTTTTAGCGCGTTTCATCTCTGATCCCACTTCGAAGTCGAACCCCATCCATGTTCGTCGCGTCTTCGCACAGAGACAGTGTTGCCAAATAATTCTTTTCAGTTAAATAATTCAAGAAATTAAAATTGACCACTAAAAAAAAGTGTCCATTTTTTTTCTAGTTGCCTGGTGTGGCGGAAAAAAAAAATATATATTTTTTTAGTAATTTTACATCGTACACATTCTTCTGTTAATATGACAAACAATTTTATTTACATTGCCTGGCAGAGACAGGCATGCAATGGTTTGATTTTTACCAAATTTTTAGTCAAGTTTTTAGTATAACCGTACATAAAATTCACTCTGCTAATACCCAACTTATTCAGATTCAGATTCTTTATTCATACTAATGTTTAAAATACAAAACTGGCATATCTTAAAAACTTATTTGAAACTCGCTCAATCCTATTCCAATGAACCTGGTAGTGGGGTGGGCAAAGACAACAACTGCTTTCAATAAATGTTAACCTACTATCAAATATGACTCCTAAGTCTTTAATCACATTTACATTTTCAATCAAAGACCAAAGTATCATGGAAGTAATATGAATTAATACATGGTGTGTTTTTCTTACTGAATTGAATATATTTACATTTATTTATGTTAAGATTTACTCGAAGATTTATACTGTTATTTTTGCACCAATTCTCAAAAAGCATAAGAGCTTCTTGAATTAATAATTCTATATTATTATATGTAATTACTAGTTTCAGTTGAAAAAGGTTCAAATAAGGATAAGTTTCAGCTTTCATCTTTCTGCAGCTGGACAATGTCCATCAAATAAGACTCCCATTGGGTCATTAGACCATTTTAAATTAGGAAGATTATAGTCTCCAGAAATACATAAACTATAATCGCTATATTGGTGAGCAACTCTCTCCACTCATTCACAATGCTTTTCATGCACGTCTTCACGTGGCAAAACAGGTATGACGTCAGGTGACCATTGGCGTTCTAATGTAGGGTGCTACCAGACTCGCATTCCTTTGGAGTATTAGATCAAAATCGATGGACTTTACGTCTGATTCATCTGAAAAATTGGCTGTAAATTATTGTCTCTTCCATTGTGCCATCTCTGATGACGTCGATTGAAATGATTGAAATGATTTCCTCGGCTTAGGCTGAAGTTGAGGTCCCTAACACATTTTCAGGCCAAAAGTTGTCCCTTGGCAGAGGGGCATTTGCACCCCCAAGACCTTTGAATTTTATAAATAATTCTCCAAAATTAAAATAAACAGTCCCAAAAATACCATAAAAAAAACCAAAAAAAGGGCCTGGCATCCAAAAATTTCGCGGTGGACCAACAAGAATCACTTGCAAATTTTCCCCCTCCAAGACAAAATCCTGTGGATAATAGTCAATATTTGCATTATCTTTTTCACAAAGGTAAGGTCAAGTCTCGGGCAAAGTTTACAGTCTCTGGTCAAGTGGGGTAATTTTATTGTGATCTGCTACTAAAAAGTTAATAAAAAATGCTGTACTTATATGTTAGCCACGGGGTTAGCCATTATGTTCCACGCATTTATAGATCAGTAAATGGTTGAATACATTGTGTAACATTTTTTGGGAAATCGCTTCAATGACATTACAAATCGAGTTACAAATGTTCCACTTAAGATCTCGCCGAGAATCTTCCATGCTTTTAGGCAAAGGATACAGGATCTCTCCTTGAAATAATTCCAAGGAAAAAAGTCTGGAACTGTCAAGTCAGGAGAGTAAGGTGTCCATTCTATAGGACCAGCTCTTCCTATACATCTTTTCCCAAATGTCATATCTAGTGATTCCTTTACTAATAATAATGAGGTGGGGGTGGGGCACCATTCTGCTGAAAATAGGTATCGTCCAAGATCTATCCTCCCGTCTTAATTGTTGATAAAAGACATTTTGCAACATATCAGTGTATACAGTTCCTGTTATCGTTGGTTCATTAATGAAAAATGGTTTGTATTTTTTCTCAACAGAGATTGCACACCAAACTGTTACTTTTGGGGATCTCAGTCTCGCTATTCTCGCTGGACAGTTACAAAATTGTTTACTATATCGATAGCAAATACCTACAATATGAAGTTGCGTGCATTTTCAAAAAATACCAGGATTTGGATTTCAATTTTTTATGGCTAAATCTTTTGAGTTTCAAGGATGATGTTTTTTAGTACACGGATACCTTGAACATGACTTTTTTTTTTGACGTTGTGCTATACAGGGTGTTCCAATAGAAATAGTGGAGAATTTCGTGTTGAAAAACGGATTTTTTTTTTACTGGCTCTGCAAAATTTGCAACCAACTAAAAAAGACAGTGATCCAAGAGAAGTCGAATGGCGCAAGTCGCAGGTAACTAGCACACCTGGTCTAAAAGTTATAAGCATATACAATCTTTCTAGGTTTTGAATTTCCTGACTTATTTCTTCAGTCCACCATAATTTGTCTCCCCAACTTTCTGTTGCTACTATCGTTTTTTCTGGTGCATATTTATCTAATACAAGTATGCCAATTATTATTGTTTGTTTAGATGCCTGCCAAATGATTAACATTAGAGTTTTTAGGTCACCACAACATATTCATAAGTTCTAGTTGAAGTGTTAATATGTATATTCAAAGAATTGAAATTATGTTTTTTACTCTATATCTACTGCAATAATAGAATGATCAGTTTCTTTACTTTGAAAAATAATATAAAAAATACATAGCAGATAGGTAATTACGACTCTTTATATTTTTGTAGCAAAACCAGTTATTGAGGCAATCAACAACTGTCCACAACTCGAATACCTCAACCTAGAAGGTAACACATTGGGAGTGGACGCAGCAAAAGCCATAGCTCAATCCTTGGAAAAACATGGAGAATTCAAAAGAGCCCTATGGAAAGACTTGTTCACCGGCCGAATGAAAACCGAAATCCCCAAAGCTCTAGAATTCCTAGGAGCCGGTTTGGTCACGGCCGGAGCCAGATTAACTGAATTGGATTTAAGTGATAACGCTTTCGGTCCTATTGGAGTCGAAGGCCTGGCAGCATTGTTGCGAAGTTCCACATGTTATGCTTTGCAAGAATTGAGATTGAATAATAATGGTTTAGGGATTACTGGTGGTAAAATTTTGGCATCTGCCCTTACTGACTGCTATAACTCCAGTAAACAAGAAGGAAAGCCCTTGGCATTGAAAGTATTCATTGCTGGACGTAATAGGTTGGAAAATGATGGAGCCAAAGCCCTATCAGAAGTGTTTAAGCTGATTGGAACTTTAGAGGAGGTTGCAATGCCCCAAAATGGTATCTATCACCGGGGTATTACTGCATTATCAGAAGCTTTCAGGCACAATACAAACCTTCAAATATTAAACTTAAATGACAACACTATTGGTTCAAAAGGAGCCTTTTCTCTTGCAAAGGCTTTGCCAACACTGCAGAAATTGAAGGAAATTAATTTCGGCGATTGTCTATTGAAAACAAAGGGGGCGCTGTTGTTGGCTAATGGCTTAGACCCAGGCCATGAAAATTTGGAAGAGTTGATTTTGGGATTTAACGAAATTAGAACTGAAGGGGGTGTGAATTTGGTGAATGCTATGACCAACAAAATCAAGTTGAAAAGTTTGATTCTTGATGGGAATCAGTTTGGAACTGAGGGAGCGCAAAGCATAAAAAATAAACTTAAAGAGATTGGAAAATTTAATACCTTAGGTTCATTGGATGATAATGAATCTGAAGGAGAAAGCGACGAAGATGAAAATCAGTCTGATAGTGATCATGAATCAGACAATGAAACTGACGATGATTTTTTAAATGCCTCCAAAAAAGAACCAGAAGCAGAGGAATCTGCTACAAACATTTCAATAGAAGAATTCATGAAGGACCCTACAGGGAAAAATCTAATTCTACTTGGCAGTAACAGAGAAGAATTGATTTTAAAGACGGCACAACCAGAAGGTGTAATGAATGCAGGAGCCTACATAACAGCAATAATGAAAGTTTCCTCTTTGAGCAATAATGCTGATCCAGAGGTTGCCAATATTTCAACCACTATAGCAGAAAAAATGTATGAAGAATTATTTGTTTGGGGCAAAACGCAAAAGGATGCTCTAGTTATTATACAGAATAATATTTTAGTGCATTTGGGACTTATAAAGGTAATAATAATTGAGGTTGTAATGCATTTGGGTGACTTATGGTTTATTTTAGAGTGAAGATAAAAAATTCAAGCCAAAATGGAAACTAGATGGTTGTCTCAATGTACTGAAAAACGTATGCCAGAAGAATTTTGTGCCGGACAATGCCAAGCTAATGGTGAAATGCTTTATAGAGAGGCAAGTAAAACTAGAGCTAGAGTGTTGAATATTTACCTTTGTTTTTATGCTTTGTAAATTTAACTTTCGTTTTTAATGTTTACTCTATATATTTTTTTAAAATATGATGATACTTTTCAGTTCTTAATTTTTCTTATTTTCATACTTTTTTCAGGGACATTAACAATAATGGGGAATATCTTCAGATAAAAAAAGACATATTGTCAATATTAGCTTAAGTAGTATTCCTGTTAGTGTTTCTATTAATATATATTTATTTTTAAAACCATTCATTTCTTTTGTGTATGATGTTTTTAAGAATTGGCTCTTTGACTCAAACATAAAATTTAAAATCAACTTGCCAGACGATGACGTATTAAAAATAATTCAAATCAAATGTAGAAGTGTGCTGCAGTGACAAAGCACAAACAGCTGTTATGGCAGTCGATGATCAAGGTTTGATTGCGCTGTTGCCAGATGTGACTAAATGTAGTGCCAAAACTGTCAAATTGTGTGAAAGAGCCTTAATTTCTGTCCCAGCCTTAAACTTCAAAAAAAACTTTTTTGGAATTCTATTTTTCCAAGGGGCAAACCACTTAGGAATTCTTTGGAAGGCGTCTCTTATCTCCAACACATTTTTCACTGATACTCAAGGTGTCATCACGATTATTCCAAGCAAGTCCCAGAAAGGGAATGTGTTTATCAGAACTATCTGAATTAATTTGTGTTGGACCAGAAAACTCCCACCTAGGGTTGCCAGGCTTCACGCAAGGCGTGATTGTCACGATTTTTTATTGGTTGTCACACATATCAAACCCAAGTATGCTTGTTAAGTTAAAAATAGACTTGCCTCAGACCTTATTAGACAGGGTGTTTGGTACATCGATAGGAATATTTCAATGAGTGATAGTTGGGGTTATTTGGAAGCTGTTTGATCATATTTACCCTAATGAAAAGTTGTTTATTTGCCGTTTTTTGAGATTTCGCCATTTTTAGATATTTTAAATCCATGTATTTCAACACATAACTTGGGCTACATATTTTTTGTATCAATCATTCGGTTTTTTTTTCCGTATTTTTCGAAAGAGTGCATATTAGGAATATCGGAAAAAAAAATATGAGAAAGGGTAAAGTGTTTACTATCAAAAGAAAAACAATATGTTTTAGGAACAATTCAAAAATATCTAAAAATGCTGATATCTCGAAAACGACAAAACTTTGCATAAGGGTAAATGTGGTCAAACAGCTCCCAATAAATGACCTCAACTATCACTCATTGAAATATTCCTATCGATGTACCAAACACCCTGTATACATTATTCTGAAGTTGTAAAAATTTTGTTGTTCCCTGACTGAAAATCTCCGAAGTAAGTGTCACATCCACTAAATGCTCGAAGAAAGACTTTAATGTTCTGAGAGAGATCCTTGTGTTCCAAGCAGTTTGATGAATACAGTTTTTCAGGAGTCTTGCCTTTTCCTGGTTTTCCCAAGAGGATATTGTTGTATTGATGGTTATCCAGTATTGGCGTTTCGTTAGGGAACAAGTATAAGCGCGATATAAATAAGATTCTAGGGAAAAAAAGTGGCTCTGTTGTAGTTTGGTAAGTAATATATACAGGGTAGGGTGACACTTTAAAAACTTACAATGGCTATATCTGAGGGACCAAAAAAAAATGGAGGAGGAACCAAAATGATGTAATAACTAACCTGTTTTCACCTACCTACCGTAACCTACCCCTCACTTGAATCGGATGAGGTATCACATGTGGAGGGGGTTGATGCTATTCAAGAGTATTAGCAGGGGGATGAGGGTGGGGGGTAAGTGAAAACAGTTATCACATCATTTTGGTTCCCCGCCCTATAATAGAAATTGTTTTCAGCGATTTTTGATATATTTTTTCTTGGTTCCTAGTGGTGCCGCGAGACGAGACTTAGGGTTGGTCTCGTCTCGTCTCGACATCTCGAGACGAGACCGTGATTTAATCTCGGTCTCGAGTACCAAAGTCTCGTCTCGTCTCGAGTGGTCTCGTCTGGTCTCGAGTTATACAGGGTGTCCAAAAAATAGCGTAAAAACTCTTCTTTACGTGGTGGAGGACCCTACAAGGAACCCCAGAAAAATACTTTAAAAAATCAAGTGGCATTCTTAAGAAAGTTATTCGCATTTTAATATTTATTAACATTGGCAACACTGAAAATATCCCCCTGACAATATGTCAGAGAATTAAATTATATACCCATGTAACTACCTGAAGATTTCGAAGGTGAATTTTCACATCTACCTCTTCATATTACCAAGAATAATGCTGGAGAAGGACTTTTTTAATTTAGTTATTTTTCTAGGGTTTCTCAAAGGGTCCTCTACTACGTGGAGAGATTTTACGCTATGGTTTTTGTTTTTATATTATACCGGAAGTCCAAACTGCCACAGTGAAAAAGCAATTAGTGAAAAATCACAGTAAAGAGTAACCCTGATATTTAATTCACTGATTTCATATTCAAATAGCCCAGAATAGTCCAATAATGAAGCTATGAAAGACAAATTTTAAGTGTAATCTCGAGACTCGAGACTACACGAGACTCTCGCCGAGTCTGGTCTCGTCTCGTCGAGACTTCACGAGACGAGACCAAAAGCCAGTCTCGTCTCGAACAGTCAAGACGAGACCAGTCTCGAGTCTCGCGGCATCACTATTGGTTCCTCAGATAGCCAATTGTAAGTTTTTGAATGTCACCCTGTAGACTGATTACATATCATACATTTAGATAAATACAATGTAATTTAATGAAACTATAGTCACATGCCATTTTCGTAGTCATGAATAAAAATTCAATATCGAAAAACGGAAAAACTTTAAAATGCAATGTTTTTCTTTTACCCTGTTTTTTTTTAGCTATAGCTCATAACAGATAATAGCTATAAAAAAAATTGTTCATGGAAATTGTAGAAAATCAATTTTCTCTATTTTTGGTTCGTACACTTTTTTCCTAAAGTTGACCGTTTACGAGTTATATTAAAAAAAAAAACATTTTTGTGCTCACTAAATCCAAGATGGCGGAGGAAGCCGGCGCCGGCGCCCCCTTTGCTTTGGTCGAAAACTCAAATTATTGTTTAAAACTTCAATCTGAACGACATATTATGTCCAAATCACAGATTAACCCGTCCTAAAGATAGGAAAGTTCCATGTAAAATGTTCGTTCGGAACTGTCCGAGCTGTCTAAAAATAACACATATGAGAGTTTCATGACTGCCAAAGCTATGCGGCGCTAGTATAGCAAAGCCACAAGCAAATGTCATCTGTGAATGAATGTAATTTGTCATTGTATTTACCATTAGTCAGCCGTTTGATGTGTGTTAGTGTTCTTTATTTGATTTTCTATCAATTTTCGGTAAAACTTTGACTTCTTAATATGTTTTTAACATCTCTAACAGGAGACTTTATGTTACATGTAAACATTGTGGAAATGATTTTAGTGATGGTATTTATTTGCCATTTTTGACATTCACTTAAAGTGTGCAAGACCCTTTAACTTTTTAGTGTTATTTTTTCAATACGGTTTTCTGTTGTTGTGTTAAAGGCTGTTCTGTTAAAGAAGGAGATAGTACTGAAATTGTTGTTTTATTCCCAAAAATTAGGGTTTAATAATAAAATGAGATTTATTAGACAAATTATTTAAAAAAAGGCGGGAACCACGTGACTACTGCCACAATACTGGACACACCGAAGTGCACACTAGCGCCACCGTGCTGTGGCAGTCATACAACTCGCTGCATGAGTAAGACAATGATAGGGAAAAAGGCCTGAGTTTCCTATCTTTAGGACGGGTTAATCTGTGGTCAAAATCAAGACTACCCCACCTTTTCCAAGCTGCGGGTCTTTTTTCCCTCTAATGACTGGCCTATACTGCGTTGCAGAAACTTGGTACCAGAAAAGAAGCGGAATTAAGTACTACCTACCTGATAATGTTTTGTATCAGCTGGAAATTTTTATTTACCGGGTTTATAAAGCAAGCACTACAACAAGATCACTTGCAGAATTACAGTGGTCAATGTTTACTGCCAAACATGCCCTTGGAGATAAGTTACCCCTACCCCCCACTAAAGGTTCCCTTGTACCCACAATTAAGAGAGCTAACCTTCAAGCATCTGTGTGGTCAAAAGATGATGAACCAAATGCAGTCATCCCTAATCAAGTTGGTTGCAGCTGGTGTTTTGAAGACGGAATGCTTACCCCTGTCAAGTCTGAAGAACCATGTGCTCCAGAGTCCCTTCTTCAACTAATTAAATGTTCGTGTATAAAAAATCGATATTCATCACCATGTAAATATTTAGCAAACAATATGCCTGGCACCGAAATGTGTAGTTGTAATGTGTACCATTCAACTTGTGATAATTCAAGCTAAAAAACTTAAAATTGGTTGAATAACAGCGACAATGGAGCACATTATTTATATTGCTATGGCGGACATCTTGTTTGACGCATTCCAAACAAACGCAACATGTGTGACGGTGTCGGTGTCACCATACAAATTATTGAACTACATCATTTTTTGAATAAAACGACACCCCTTGCACCTTCCCTTCATTAACTTTCCCATGGGACACACAATGCTCCCATAATAATTAATAGCATTCCAAATAAACAAAATGTCGAACATAAGCAAACAATTTCCATGCGACTCTATAGAAATATACCAAACCTTTCCATGCTTATGGGAAATAAAAAGTAAGGACTAGTGGTAGGGTAGGAACAAGAAATTAGCTGCCTATCAAGTATTCTTCTTTATTGCATAACCAAGCAGAATACAAGACAAAACTGTCTTGCGAAAAGCTTTTCTTCTACGAAGTAAAATACGTTTGAACTGCGTCTGTCGTCCTGTTTGGAAAGAAGAGTGCTAAAAGCGTGTGTGTGAGAGGCACAGTTGGCCTGTGCAAAATAACTGAGCGTCTGTGGCGGCCTTATCGGCAAAGTCTATATCTGTACTGATTCCTGGTCAAAAATAAATATTTAGATTTATATTTAAAAAAAATTAAATAATAGATAACAACAAACCAGAAGGGGAGATTCAATTTTTTCAACCACTGAAAATAATTAAGAAATAAAAATAAAATCAACCCCCAGAGAGTGTGAAACTGCTCCTACAATCGCACTTCCCAGGTTCTGTAGAGTGTGAGCTAAACGGCAACAGAGCTTCGGTGGCTAAGGACGTCTCACGCCCAAGCTACCGAACAAAAAGTCTGGCCAGAAAAATATTTCACCTCAAACAAAATAAGATGGGCTATAAACAATTTTCAGCCCTACAAATCACAAGGAGAAGACAGATTTTTTCCAGCTCTCCTACACCAAGGCTTAGAAGAACTTATAACTCCACTAGCAATAATTTTCAATGCTAGCTACCTATTGTTCGTCGATTTTTAACTGACACTTTCCGTATGAGGAGCCAGGGGATGTTTCATATGGCAAAAACAGGTGTGACGTCAGGAAACTATTGTTGTTCTAATGTAGGGAGCCACCAGTTAACATTCCGTCCGAGTCTCAGATTAAAATCGACGGATAATACTAGGTTACATTCCCACCTGCTGGCGGGTGGTCTTCATTCCAAAGGCTGGGAAACGTCCCACAGCACAGCCTAAATCGTTCAGACCCATCAGCCTAACCTCGTTTCTCGTCAAAACCATGGAGAAAATCATTGATTTGATAACACCTCTTATGAGTCCATAAGAAAGGCGGCAAAAAAGAAAAGCTTTGAGGACACTACAATCACATGGATTGAAACCATGCTACAGGATAGGAAAATCGAAAATCAAGGCAACTCTTGGAAGTGACGGTCGTAGCAGTCAAGGGGTGCCCCCAAGGGGGTGTATTATCCCCACTGATATGGTCCATACTAATAGATGAACTACTAAACATACTAAGTGACCATGGATTTGTGGTCCTAGGATATGCTGATGACCTTGCCAGTCATCATTAGAGGCAAGCATGATAGGATCATTAGTGACCTCATGCAGAATGCCCTCAACATCATCAAAAGCTGGTGCTTGCAAGAGGGTCTAAGGGTGAATCCTAGCAAAACAATAATTGTACCATTCACAAGGATAAGGAAGCTCAACTTAATAGCTCCAACACTGGATGGAATACAAATAGGCCTTTCAAGTGAAGTCAAATATCTGGGCGTTGTCCTAGATCAAAAGCTCACCTGGAACTCACATTTAAAAAGAATAACCGATCAAGCAACAGTTGCGTACTGGACATGCCGAAGACTATATGATTATAAGTCCCCTGGTCACATATGCTGCATTGGTGTGGTGGCCAAAAGTGAAGCAACAGACAGGGCAAAACCGATTGGCAGTCGTACAAAGGTATTGTCCGTCGTTCTTAATCTGACACTTTCCGTATGAGGAGCGAGGGGGTGAAGTATATGGCAAAAACATAAGTGTGACGTCAGGTGACCATTGGCGTTCTAATGTAGGGTGCCACCAGCTCACATTCCTTTCGAGTATCAGATTAAAATCGGCGGACTTTATGCATTTCTTGGAATAACAGGTGCCATGAACACCTGTCCAACCGCTGCTATAATAGAGGTCATGTTAGATATCGTCCCTCTGCACATTGCAGTGAGGAGGGAGGCGTACAGGGGGGCCTCAAGGGTTATGCGGTCTCTAAACCTAAAGCAAGGGGACCTTGTTGGACATGAGCGTCATTAAAGAATGTCATGGTAAACCAACAAACCCGGTGGACATCATGCCACCCAGATACGAATTTAATCACCTTCTTAGTGTGACCGCAGAAGGCCGCAAAAGTGACAAGATCGTACATAAATTCCCAAACGGTTCATCCATGTACACAAATGGATCGAAAATAGAAGAACGGGTCAGAGTGGGCATATATGGCCCGAACTGCAGGCTATCGGTAGCCTTAGGAAAAAACCCCACCATATTCCAAAACGTACGCAATAGAACTCTGCACCAGAAAGTGTCTTGAAATGGACCTACGAGTAGTGATGCCGCGAGACGAGACGAGACGAGATTAGGGGTTGATCTCGTCTCGTCTCGCCTGAGCATCAATCTCGTCTCGTCTCGACCTCGAGATTAATTCGAGACGAGACGAGAGTCGTAGAGAGTCTCGTCTCGTCTCGTCCGATCTCGTCTTGCGAAAAAATCGCTTGCATTGTACAACATAACCTATGGATTTTTCTTGCTGGTTTGGTTCGTATTTCGTAATAAATAAAATCGAATGTCCAGCTGGTCCAGAGCTAGAAAAAACGCAATAGCTGTATTTCTTTCGAGAGCTTGAAACATTAGCACTCTTACTTGACCCTACCCCGCTTTGAAAGGAAGCGCTCGTGAGATGGTGTCAGGTGTGTGAGAGGAAAGGACCGAAGGGAGGGATTGGGGCTTGAGCATTTCGGGTGCAACAAACACGCGAAACGCCACGGAGCTGTTCCGGAGCCCCTCCTTGTGTGGAAGGAATACAGCTATGGCTAACAGCATGTTTTATTTCAAACTTCCTACGACAGAAAACAGTACAATTTGCTCTGAAAACAGTACAATCGCATGACCGGTTTCAGCAAGGATAATAAACACTACTGCAGGATACAGGATTGCTCATCGGCCTCGATTTGTCGCATCAACATGATATGGTGTAGCACCGTTGTCAACGTCATCAACGGTGCCGACGACTATTTGCGCCAGCGGTCGTAGTTAAGAATTCAAATTTATGATTGATGACATAATATGTAGAGATGAAGATGAAGAAAATATTTTAACGAAATGTTTGTTTTTGAATGCTAATTAATGTACTGAAACCAAGTTCATAAAGCCAAAAGGGAATTTTCCGCGCTGTAACCACGAGTAAGCAGGTATGATCATACTATGACGTCATGATATCTCATTTGACATATTGAATGATGAGGTATGAGGTAATCATAAGTGGAAAAAAAAATGGTATGATGTAACTACAAGTAAAAATGTTACATGGTTACAGCGCGGAAAATTCCCTAGAGTCAGCGGAATCATAGCCTGTGGTGCAAACACCCTACGTCAAAGCGACATTAAAGCGAAGAACGACACGCTGACTATGTCATCAGTGGTACTTTTGCGTAGTGGGGAGCTTGAGATTTGTAGAGATCCTATAGTGTTTATTATCCTTGCGGTATCAGTTCATTTGAAATTTCTCCAGGAACAATACTGCATATACCGTATACCTATCATTTATTTATTATTTATCGATTATTTGACGGACGAGACGAGATTAGTCGAGAATCTCGTCGCGTCTCGCTTCTTTTAGTCTCGTCTCGTCTCGAAGTCGAGACTAAATGGCCTCGGGACGAGACGAGATTAGGGCGAGACGAGACGAGACGAGAGTGTCATTTTAGTCTCGTCTCGCGGCATCACTACCTACGAGGTGCAATAATCTTCATCAATTCTGTAAGTCATGACAGTCAGGCAGCACTTAAGAGTCTTAACAGCTTTGTCACTAAATCCAGACTAGTCTGGGACTGTCAACAACTTCTGAAGCAACTGGCGAACTACAATAGAGTTACTCTAGCATGGGTACCAGGGCATCAAAACATAGAAGGAAATGAAATAGCGGACCGGCTTGCAAGAGAAGGCGCCGCGTTACCATTCCTCGGTCCAGAACCCTTCTTTGGCCTGACAAAAAACCATGTAAGGACCGAACTCAAAAAATGAGTAGAGGCACAACAGGCCTCCCATTAGAACAATACTCCAGGACAGACAGGCGAAGCAATTCATCTCGCCAGTCAACAAAGGCAAAGAGACTACTCGAACTCAGCAAACCAGACTTGAGGCTCATAACGGGTCTCCTCGCCGGCCACTGCCCTCTTGGCTACCACCTGAAAAAGTAAGTAAAGCTGAATCACACCTTTGCCGTTTCTGCAAAGGAATATCCGAATCTGCAAATGCGAAGCATTATGTCACAGAAGACTCATTCATCTGGAGCAGACACATTTGATTGCTGAGGATGTTAAACGAACCAATCCCGGAAAAATTGTGAGATTCGCGAAAAGTCTCAACCTGGGAACCTACTGGAAAAAGGTGAAGCACAATAGATCTATTCAAGTCGCAGTGCAGAGAGGTCTATCACCTAAACGCCCCTAATACAATCTAATCTAATCTAATCTAACCCCCAGATTTTTTCCATTTTTTTTTTTGGTGCATGGAAGAGCACAATTCGCATTAACACCGGCACAATTGAGCACAAAATGAGTACAATTCAATGATCCCAAAAATATTGCCAAAAAGTCAAAAAAACCGGGGGTTGGAGTCAAGCTGCCCCCCCGGATTTGTTTCATTTCAATTCTTTGTCATCCTAAAATGATTGAAAAAGTGTAGTTGATTGTTTTTTAAATCTTCCAAAGAATGACAAAGATATTGGAGTTATTAAAGAGTTAATTTAAGACGCTGTTTATTAAATAATACAAAAAAATCTACATATAAACTAACTGTATTTGCACTTAAACAAAATATACAAAATTATTTACAATAAAATATAATACAATCACTAGCATTTCACTCTTATTACATTACATAACAAATATTAAAATCGAAATCCTCAAAGCTCAGTTACAGCTTCATGTTCGCTATCGTACCTCTTATGACATACATGACCGATATCCCCATCTATGATATACGGACCTTTATTTCTAAAAGTCCCATAGCCTTCAGAATTTTCATCATTTACGATTTCCTTATTACTAGGATAACTATGCCTTGGTTCAGGTTCAGTGTAATTGTAATTATTATCGGTCGGGTACGTGTTCCTGTGGACTTTGGGTACTTTGTGGTGGTGATGGTGGTGGTGTCGTTTCGGTACTATTTCTGGTTCCAGAGAATCTATCATACTTTGATCAGAGGCAACGTGTCCGTTTCTATTTGCTTTAACGTCACTGCTTATATAATATATGGAATTATAGTTATTGCTTGTGTTACTTATTCTACTATATTCATTACTCTGCTGACTTATTCTATTAGCATTTTCATTGACCAAAGCACCGTTTCCTATAATATTATTATTAATAGTGGTATCGGTATTTTTGAAGTAAGCTCCAGGTAAGCCGTTATAAAGCTGGCTAGCCTCCTTTTTGACTCTTTTTCTTATGGTTTTCGTGTATTCTTTGGTGCCTCGACGTTTTAGTGTAAAGTCACGCTCGCCTGTTTGGGATTTCGAGTTCCACTGAACCCAATTGTAGCGAAGCATCGGATCTTTGGGACCCCAATTGTGAGACGGTTCCAAAGAGGCTTTGAGTTTCTGGAAAATTTGTTCAAATGTCAAACAGCCAAAATGTTACATAAAAACTTACGTCTTTTATAGTATAGCCATTCTGTTTTCTCGTGACAAAAATACCTATAACAATGATAAACATAAAAGCCATTATCACCACAGACCATCCTAAGGCAACCATCCATACAGGATCAATTTTGTATATTCCTTCCAATGGTAAGCCTATCAGAGCCCATATAAATATAATTGTTAAACATATGGGAGTAAGCCACCATAAAAATAGCCAAACTTTCAACAGGATGTGGCCTAGCATAAATTCAAAATCAGATTGGATTCTTGTTAGGCCTATAAATGAATCACTCAATAATAATAATACAATTGGAAAATAAATATATTTACCATAAAACGCCATCATTGCGAAAACTTCAATAATCACGCATATGAAAATCAGGTTGCCGACAATGTAATGGTCTAAAAGATGCACCAAGTCAAAGTCATTTTTCAGTAGGAGCAAGCAACTTAATATAAATCCTGAAAAACTGAAAACGACGCTGGTCTGCCACCATTTCAGTCTTATACCGTCGTGGCCGTAGATTGCTTTGAGGAGGGTGTATGAGAGAGTTGCCTAAAAATAATAGAATGAATTGAACACCAACTTTCACACCATGTTTGCAATTTATAGAATGTTTGTGATTGATATGAGCATTTACAAAAATACAAAAGATGTTCTGTCATACTTAAGTTACCAACCCACTAAAACAGATATTAGTAATGAAGGATTACTATATGCACAGCAAAAAAAAATTATTCTCATTTATGCTTCAAAAATAATTTTTGAGGTACTTACCATGCTCACAAACCCTGAAAATATGACCAACAAATACGTGGCAATCATCCAATTTTTAAAATCACTACTCTGATTCACCATAGCGTCATAAATTAAGGTAAAAAGCTGCACTTCTGCAACTGTAGACGATATCGTCGAATTGGTATCGTTACTAGTGGCTCCAGTCAATATGGTTGTCATTATTACAGAGCCAGTTCCAAATATTAAATTTATCGCTATGTAACCTAGAGCCGTCCATAGAGGATTTACTTTGTTATACATTATGCCGGCATTTGTGATAAACGATCCGAAACCAATGTTGGTTGAGAAGAATACTTGAATGGTTGCGTAGTACCAAACCTAGAAAAAAAGGATCCAATGTTTTGAAAAAATATTTAAAAAAATCTGTGTTTCTTACTTCAGCAGTTTTAAGTATACTCCAATCAACATTTTCGGCCATTTTATACAAAACTGCCATTTCAGCTTCAAGCAAGATGGATTTTGTTGTTAAAGCTATATAACACACCATCGTTGGAAAAAGCAATAATATTAGGGATCTTATGTAGCTTTTTGTTCTTCGTATAGATCTAAAAAGAGACGTTGTTATGTGCAGTTTAACAGCTGAGTGATTACAGATTAGGACTTACAAAACAATGATCACTATCCAAATAAACAAAAGTAACGCTGCATAAATTCCAAAATAGTATGGATCCTGGAATGGTGATTTTATGAATGTGTTCCTGAAAATTTGACACCTAGTACTTAACGATACCTTTCCAGTTATGTATTGTCACAACACAAATGGTTGATTATAAATAAACTCTTACCTAATACATTCTTGGCCATTGATTGCAGCTGGAACATATCCATCTGCAGTTATAACAACTCCATTGGAACATTCAACAAACGGAACTGACCCTTTAAGTGTCCAAATTAAATACATTATGGCAAGCCCCATGTAGATAGGGTAGTATATACTCAGCAAACATCCGGCTAGAAGTTTCACGTATCCAATTCCTATAAAAACCAACAATTGTAATCTCAAAGTGAAAACCAAAATTATTACCTTTAAAAAATGGCACGGCTCTCCAACTTTTGATAAATCCCTCCTGGGCCATCTGTCCTATTCCGAGTTCGAGAAACAATAAGGGTAGTCCGATGATCACAGTCAATATGGCGTAAACGACTAGGAATGGTAAACCTCCGCGTAAAAGGACGGTCTGCGGTAATCGGTACAGATTGCCCAGAGCTGCCGCCATGGAGATGGTGCAGATTATCGTTGAAACGTGGGTACACCATGTTTTGCAGGACTGAAACAAAAAGTATATTGTAAGAAGAATAGCAAATCAAAATTATTCAAGATATTCTTATTTATTGTAACAGGTTCTTTTGGGTTTTTTAATAAGAGACGCACTGGATCTGGCTGGTCTATTTAACTTGAGACATTATCCGTATGTGTCAAAAGCCAATATTTTAGTATAATTCGAAAGTTCTATTCATTACAATGTATTAGACAAAATATTTAGAGAAGAAATAAAACCTTTCTAGCATCCAGAAAGATTTAACGACGCATTAGTCGACCAAATCTATGATACTAGTCTGGGATGCAACCATTGTTCTTGTTGCCAACAGATCAGTACATTTACAATCCATAAACCTTCTGGCTACTGAATGCAATTTTTAAGATATCACTGCACTGCGGATTATTATTATAGCAACTCCTCTATACGCACTCGTGAATAGTTGTTTTAGACATTGATTAGTTCAGGCTGCAGACCTGTCATTTTGGCGACGAGGATGGGATACCAGTGATCAAAAATAGGACAGAAGTTGAAGTAAGACCCACGGTGATAACGAACAATGGCTTCGTACGGAAACATCGAAGAGTTCAACGTTAACGAACCAAAGGGTTGGGAGTCCTACGTCGAACGTATGACTTTCTATTTTCCGGCCAACGATATTACAAATGAAACTAAGATATTAGCGATTTTCCTTAGTTTGTGTGGACCTCACACTTACGAAATCCTGAGGTCTTTGCTTACGCCTGATTAGGTGTCAGGGAAAACATACAAGGACATTATCAAGACATTGTCGGAGCATCTTACGCCACGTACATCGGAAATTGTCAACCGTTCCAAGTTTTATCGTCGAGATCAACTTAAAGAGGAGTCATTTTCAATATATTTGAAAGAATTAAGTACGGCATCTGGCAGAATCGTGTGGGTTCGACACCAGTTTAGAAACTATATTGCGTGACCGAATCGTATATGCGGAGTTACCGACGAAATGCTGCAAAGGAAACTGCTGTCAGAAGATAAATTGACATTCAAGAAAACTAAAGATATGTGTCTTGCTCACGAGGTCGCTGCACAGAGCCTGGCGATGTTGAAAGGAACTGAAACGAACCCGATCAGCGAAGTACATGAGGTTCAGGCACGTCGCAAACAGCAAATTCAACCAAAACAGGACAGATTAGCTGAGGAACGTGACAGTCAAGTTAGTCAGGATCGTTTTACGTTTCCGTTGTGAAAAAGACCATTTGGCCGTTTCCTGTGTAACTACTGACGGAAAATAGGGCACATTGAGGTAGCTTGTTTCCTTAAGAGGAAGGACACAAACAGACAGAGACGGAGCGTACACAAACAGACAGAGACGGAGCGTACACAAACAATAGGACTTTAATAATTCGGGCCAGGAAAATTATTCGGAAAGTGTTCAGAACATTGACTCTAAAGGTGCGTACTATGGGTTTACATTAAATAATGTGAATTGTGACAATTTTTCGGGCAAGTACTTAACCGAAGTTACGGTAAATGGGACTAAAATTTGTATGGAAGTAGATTCGGGAGCCGGGTACTCTGTGGTCGGATTAGAAGCTTCCGGAAAAATTTTGGGCGACAATCCTCCGTTGATAAAATCCACCAATATTATTCTACGGGACTATCAAGGTAAAGTAATTCCTACGAGGGGTGTGTTTATTAACTATTAAACTAGGAGGGCAGCAAGCCAGGCTACCCCAGGAAAACCGAGCAAGTTTACTTGGCCGAAATTGATTTGAAGGTTTGGGTTTATCCATCATAGGGGTAAGTCAAATTTATTCTTTGTCCAACTATGTCCAGGAATTCCCTGAAGTATTCGCTGAAAAGGTAGGATCCTACAGGGAACCTCCACTTCGTTTTTTCCTGGATCCAAATTTCAAGCTGATCATTTTAGAAGCACGAAAAGTGCCATTTGCATTGAAGGAAAAAAATAATATGGAACTAGATAGTCTTATAAGGCAAGGTGTTCTGGTGCCAACTACTCATGCTAAATGGTGTACTCCAATAGTAGTAGTTTGCAAAGATAACGGAGAAGTTCGAATTTTTGGGGACTATCGTAGTACATTGAATCGTGCCCTGCAGGCAGAGCCTTATACAGTGCCGTTTGTTCAAAGTATTCTCTCGTTTTTATTCTCATCGGTGACTTCACCGATGAATTAGCTATCTTTGCTTAGTGAATGGAAAATGACAATGACCGACATAGAATGGTGGATCCATCGGTAAAATTTGATGAGAATAAAAACGCAGGGTTTATTATCAGTGCTAGCAGGCGGTAAAATAGTTTCTAAGTTGGTCATGGCACAGGCCTATTTACAGTTAAGCGTCGATCCTGAAGCTGCCGAAGCACAGGCGATAATTACCCACAAAGGTGCATTTCCCAAGTCAATAGATTTTCTAGGATATCGAATAAGTGACGATGGTATTCGGCCCACTAAAGAGAATAAGACAGCTACAGGCTTTCCTTGGACTTTTGAATGTTTGCCTCAAAGACAAAGCAACTATAGTAAACCCATTGCATTGCAGGAGCGCAACTAGCTTCTTGGTTTTGGGGGGGCTTGAGCTCCGGGTCTCTATAAGGCGATTTTGTGACAGTATATGATGTTTTTCAAAACTTACTACAGTACGTATTTCACAAATGCCTGAATTTGACGGAAATATTCTGCTATATAATTTTGTTCTTCGATATAATCTACGTTCTTAGTTGAAAAAAAAAAACAAAATTATAAAAGACGGCCGCGTTCACCAGATTGTTCTGCTGAACGCTACGTTGAATTTGTGTTGAAACCAAACATGTTTTGTAAACGGTCGCCATTTTTGCAAGCATAATTTGAGAGTGTTTATAATTTTCAACACTTTTTTTGTGCTTTATGTGGTGACATGACATTCAGAAGGTGACGTTCTATCATTGAAAAGTGGAATCGTTCAGCAGAACCAAGAGTTTACCCAACGTATTCTGTTGGTATTTGTAAACTGTTTACAATCCGTTTTGGTTCTGGTGAACGTAGCCATTTTTATGTACATACATATATAATATGTAAGTAAAAATACAGGGTGTCCCAGATGTTCTGATGCTGAAAATCTTCATGGGACACCTGTAGCAACATTAGGGATCTACACGATCTACATCAACGTCATCTACACGATGAAGTTGTTGAAAATATAACTGGCTATAGCTCGAATCGACCAAAACGTTAAAAAAGCTTCCTGTTTATTTAAAAAATTATGAAACCGATTAGGGGTGAATGTTATATAGAAAATTTTAGAATGTCCTGTACTTTATACCTTTTTTACCTCTGTATTATTTGTCTCAACCTTGACAGTCTTTCAATGAAGGTGATGATGGTGAGAGAGCCTATTGCTGTGGAAACTCGAAATATATGGTTTAAGGGAAGCAATCTATAATTAGTTTAGGACGTAAATATCACACCAAGGTGTTCATTTCGAATTTCCAATAGAATTCACGTTTTGTAATTAGTATCAACGTGGAGAATACAATGTGATAATAGATATCAGTGTATCAACTTCGATTCCGAAGATAATAATTATTACCTACATTTAGTTGTATAGGCATAGAAGTCTTAACTCAAATTTTCGATTTTTTATGACAAGTTGTACCAGTAATGTGCTCCGGTCTATCAGGTAGTTAACAATAATATGTGGTATGACAGAGCAAGGTTGACAGATATAGTGACGGAATGAGTTCAGTTTAGCTTGAAATTCCAAATGTCCGAACTTTACATGGCGCTGCGGATAGGATTAGTTGTGAAGAAGAATTCTTTACAAAATACGTGAGTATTTCGTCGTAAAGAAAGTTAAGTCAAATTCGTTCTTAGCCCACGTTTCCTAATTAAAATAAGATGGAAACTTTACGACAACCCAAAGAAATGTCTCTTGAGGGTGATATCCCCACAAATTTAAAAAAATGGAAACAGCAATTCACCATTTATATGGATGCCTCTGGTTTGAAAGATAATACAAAGGTAACAGCTGAAAGGAAAGCTGCTATTTTGCTGCATACAATTGGAGCTGAAGTACTAGAAATCTATGACACACGACACACTAGAGATGCCTGATGATGAATAAGAAAGACTGACAAAAATTATTACATCATTTTGAAGTATATTTCAAACCCAAAGAAAATGATACTGTTAATCGACACCTATTTCATGCTAGAAAGCAGTTAAAAGGTGAAAATGTTGATATGTTTGTGACTTAAGTCAAAATTGTAATTTCGGAGATCTGCGAGATAGTTTGAGTTGGAGATAGGATTGTATGTGGAATAGAGGACAATAAAGTAAGAGATAGGTTGCTAAGAGAGCATCAATTAGATTTGACAAAATGTGTGAATATCTGTAGAGCGTCGGAGTTAGCTGAACTTCAATCAAAAAAGCTAGAAATTGAGACAAATGTTAATATTGTGAAGAAAGCACAAAAATCAGGACAATACAGAGAATTTACTTTACAAAAACATCAATATGAAGCCCGAAATCAAACTGGCAAAGCTTTAGAACAAACTCAGAAAATAGAGTTGATAAAAAACAGTTTGACAATTGTGGATATTTTCATATAGAAGACAATGTAAAGCATGTAACAAGTTTGGTCATTTTCAAAACTTCTGTCGTGAAAACAGAAAGATGACTGAAAATGTATATTCAGTAGAAGCTGATAATGAAGAGTAGGAAATGTTTATAGGCACAGTTCAGAAAGTAGGACAAGTTGGTTTAGTTGGCTGGATGCAAAAAGTAATGGTCAATAATAAGGAAATTTGTTTCAAAACGGACACTGGTGCTGATGTTAATGTTTTCAACTTGAGAACTGCTAAAGAACTTAATGCTGAAGTTCAGTCATCCAATACAAAGCTATTGAACTATGAAGGCTCTTTAATGGGTATTTATGGACAAACTACACTTATCTGTAAAACTAATAATAAAAAACACAATGTAGTGTTCATTGTAGTCAACTTTAATGCTCCATGGTCTTCCATTTATTGA